AGTAAAACTTGCATCAAATATTTCATATTTGGGAATCAAATAGTAAAAGGAGAAAATACAGTCAGCATTTTGCTCTGCACTCTAGTCAATAATAAAATGCTGTATTAAATGAGAATATTATTGTAGATACCCAATGTTATTGTCCAATTCTGACATATTGTGCTATTTAATTTCTGTTAGTATGAGAGAAACCACATTCTAATGTACTAGGAAGGAAGTCAGTAATACCTACAGTGATAACAACATAATGTGAATTCTTTAGAAATTTTAAGGGGAATATTTTTTAAAGAAGTATTTTGTTAAAAAAAATGCAAACCCTGAATTTGCATTTCTATGCTTGACTTGCTATGCTTATTTACTTAAATGTTAAAGTGGATACTTCTATGCTAGAGATAGGACCAGATTCAAGAGTGGTTCGGAAAAATAAAGTTCGTAAATGTAATTATTAAATAGGTAGTGGGGATATACTTTGGGGAATGTGCAGGTAAATCCATGTGGACAATTTTGGCAGATACAAACTGAGGCCTGACTTTGGGTGTACTTCTCCAACTGCCATTATTTGAAAAGTATGTCTGGTTTTTGGAGTGGTTTTTACCATTTTGTCATTTAATGAACTGTGAAATGGTCAAAGCTTAGCTCCTGTGGCAAATGTACTTTGAAACTGTTTTTGCTATTTATCTAGAAGGACATTAATTAATGACAACTGTAAGAATATTTTTTTACTATATTAATGAGTGAATATATATGTTTCTGTCTTGCGGTTGATGTATGTTAGCCTTTATGTACAAAAAAATAATTAAACTCTTAATGTTCTTAGGCTGTAGAGACTAGAGAACTGAAATGACAAATTATAACTTTTGATAAATGCCATAGAAATTATAGAACTTCTGTTTAGAAATATATGTATTTTCACACATTTTCATTGCATATTTAAAAGTATGGAATTTCTTCCACTCCAGGTAGCTGTATCCAAATGTGTGAACACAAAAAACAAAAGGTGCAAGTGACTCAGGAATGCGATAGTATCTTAATCAAGATAGCTGTCACATTATAAAGAAGTTCATGATGATCTTATTTGTGGATTATTTATATCGATAAGAGACTACAGAAATGGAGTGTGATTAGACTGTTATACTGAATCTTTTCATTCGCAGAAAGTCATCATCCATCACTGGTCTTCTGTACTTTTACCAAATCATTAAAACAAAATACAAATGTTTATTACTAAGGCTATACCAGACATTTTGCCCCATGCCACGTTTTCTGACCTTTATCTCTAGCCTTACATGTACTATATGTGTCCATTTAGCTTCTAGAAAAGCTTGTAGATATATTCCTAAGTAGCCAGATGTTTCACAAACAGATGCTTAGGATGCTCATTTCCAGTTAAGTCCCTATCTGTCTAAACAACAGGCATTTAAATCACAAGTAACTGTTGGCATATAAAACAGCTGGCCTTTTCAACCGTATTTATTCTCAGGTTGTCAGGTAGTCATTTTAGTGTATGCACTCAGTGTTGACTTGCAGTTGACCAAAAAAAAATTTAGCTGTGTATCTACAGCATGGCATTGTAATAGGGACTTTAGGTACTATGTAGTGAACATAAAAGATAAATCAATTAAAAACATGAGGGAAAAATTTTAATAACCTTGCAAAATAAACCCTGGATGTTCTCAAGCATAATTAAAATGTGGCTCAAGAACTTTCCTAGACTTTCCATAGACTAGGAAGACTGCTTCTTGAACCTTGAACCAGCTTTATTCCAGTTTCGTCTTTAATGGTAGGATTTTCCAGACTCCCCCTTTGCAGCTCAGAGTGTTATACACTTCCTTTGTTTAATGTGAGAGCTGAAATGTTCTTATAATCCTGTGAGTTCAGATACCGGCCCTTTAAAAATATTAACAAACATCATAAGGTCAATGTAAAGTTGTGATTTTGCCAATAGCATTTAGATTGAATTTTTTCATAAGAATCCTTGTGGTCCCTGAATCATCTGAAATAAACTATGAAGAAAAAAAAAGAAAAACATGCCTATGAGCCGATACTCAATGGACTGTCTGAGATAAGACTCTAGGTGATACTGATTTAGAAAATACCTTCTGTCAGATTAAATGGAGAATATCAAATTCAGTTTCTCCTACAGTGATTCTTCTCTATAATGCTTACACTGATAAATAATGACCTAGGAAAAGCCAAAGTACAGGGCCAGAAAAACTAATACGTCTCTCAGAGATCAGTCATGAAATGCAGAATATTATATGAGTTTGCAGTCTGGTTCAGTGATCAAATTTACAATTTATTATGTTATCTGCAGACAAGTCACTTAACTGGATTAGAGATGTATTTCTTAGTCTAATAAATCTTTCTGCACTAAGTATAAGCTAAAAAGTTTTAAAAGAGTCAGCTTTAATGTATAAAATAAATGTACTTAAAGCTGTCAGGAGAAAATATGTTCAAAGAATCAGGTTAGAGAAGCCATAAAGCATTTATGAGGTTCATTTTTATAATATCTTATGCCATGCCTTTTAGCTTGCACTTACAATTTCAACTATTAAATGTCTTGTTAATTTAGTAAAGGTGAAAGCAATAGATCTTACACATTTATTAGTCATATTGTCTGAAATATTTCACAGTTTGTGGCCCTGAGGTACCTACTCTGTCTTGAGATCTAGTGCAGGAAGTTGTAAACCGGAAGAAACTGAGGCACATCCATCCTGAGAGACAATGCTCTGTAAGGAAGAAACTAGAAAAAAAATCACAAGAATAGAACGAAAAGAAAAAGAGTTACGCTGTGGAACTTGAAAGCTTTGCGCACCTAGGTCAGTTAACATTATATGCCTGCATAAAAAGACTGTAGAAAACTGAGACAGTAGTGTATGCAAATGACTATATAGTTTATCAAAGATACCTGTTTTAGCTTATTCCTATGTGCTCATTTCAACTGTCTAAATTTATATACTTTCTGGAAAGTAAAAGTAATATATATAGAAATCAGTAGGTCACTCTGACAAAAGAATTATACCCATAAATCTGTATTCATACTCCTGATTAACACATGGTCATATTTTGGAATCTGCCTCCATGCCCAGTATACATGTGTCTGTGCATTTTGAAGCATATAATTTTTTGCAAGCTGTATTCAGAGCAGTAGCATTTAGAAGGTTTGAGGAAGCTGATTTGCACAAGGTAAAGACTGCTCCAAAGGTTCACCCAGAATAGTAGTTAGATAAATTCAGTTCAGACATTTACTGAGAATTTAGAAAGCAATTTTATCTATTCAGTTTTTCTATTTGATTATAAAGTAGAAGGTCCTTAGTTCCCTAAGAAAAATTATTCATGTTTTAAAAAGATACGATCTAAAGGTTAAATCCATAATGTGAGGATCGAGTCATCTGAATTCTGTTCTTGACTCTTTCACAGGCTGTTGCCAGTGGTTTAGGAAGCCATTGAGACATTGGCACTGAAGCGGTGTGCCCACATGAGAAACTTACGGGCCTGAAACTTACTGCAAAATATTGGTTTCTCCTACCCTCAATTAAGCCACTAATAATGGATACGTAACCTTTTGGTCACCCAATGCCTCTGCTATTGAACCATTCATTCTCTGCTGGGGACACCTCCCGGGCTGCGGGTCCCAAATTTTTGGACAATTGTTTTCTTCCTTTTCATGCCTTCAATACTTCTTTGACCCTTAGATCCGTGAGATAAGTGCCAACAGCAACATTTCTTTTGCAAGAAATAAGACAAGATACTACAATTTTGTGAAGATTTATCTGAATTGTATATATACTCTGTGTGTATATATTCAGAGGTTGTTGGATTTTTTTGTTTAGTTGAACTGTATCTCCTGATGCCGGATTTCTCCTAAGCAGCTGAAAGTTATTGCATTGTAACAGAACAAAAATGGGATCTCAAACAGTAATATTGTTTTAATAGAGTATTTTATGAATGTGCTCCTATGAAAATTAAACTGAATTCAACCTTCTTCTAAGACTGTGTATTCTTACACTCTGATGAAATAAAACGCGTATCCTCTGCCTTGTAGAAGTGAAAAATTCTGTGTGCTTGACTGGGCTCACATTATGTTTCTATAGCTACTACAACTACTATACCAGAAGAAGAAAATGATGTGGTTAAATTAGTCCTCAGTATTACGGAAGCTATGTTTAATGGAGGGATTACGTAAAAATAAATGCATACGTTCATATTTTTGATCAGGTATATCCGTGGTACCCCATATGAAAAGTCCATACTGTAAATTCCTTTAGCTTCGATTGTATAGAACTTTCACATTTAAAACTCTACCTAGAATAAATGTATTGCTCTTTCTCATTTCTTTTAGGGCCACATTCATCTGTAAGCCTTGAAGGCCTCATTCTTATTCATCTAATGAGGAGGTCACTAAAGTCCATATATTCTCCACTTAAGCTGCACACCATGAAAAATCATGTTTGCCCTGAAGGGTACTTTATACTATACTCAAAGTATAAGCCTACTGTTGAATGTGGAAGATCACCCTTATGCAGTCTCCAAAGTAGAACTTCTCAATAAAAGGAGAACATTAAGAATTCCAGTCTGATACAGTGAATTCTTGTCCATTAACTAACCAACAGAAAATTGCCAGTATTGTGGGCACACATGGTGACAAATTATTTTACAAAATCATTTTCTTTGTTCAAAGAGTTGTAGAAACAGATAAGCCATAGGATGGGTCATGCATGTTCTTGTAAAATATTCACCTTCCAGCTTATTATTATACTGATGTTGTGATAACATCCTAAACACTGGATTAAAACCTATGCTCCGTGCTGTGTGCAGCTGCTGAAACAGATAGATTCCCTTTCCTAATGAGGTCAAAATGAATGTTTGTCTTAAATGCTGTAAAAGCCATTCTTTACGAAGAATGTTCTTTAACTTCCTTTTTTTCCCACAAAGGATAGATATTTCTGCATCCTATATTTTTTGTTGAGCTTTTTTTCCCTGTCTTTTGTGTCCCGCAGACACTGTAGAAGATGAAATGGAAATGGCCACAGTACGACATAGACCTGAAGCTCTGGAACTGCTGGAAGCACAGAGTAAATTCACAAAGAAGGAACTTCAGATCTTATATAGAGGTTTCAAGAACGTAAGCACTTGTGAATATATCATACATTTTCAGGAGGATAGGCCACTAAAGTCTCAGTAGCATAAAAATTGACTGGCAGTGAAGCTCATGGGATTAAGTAGTGAAATATTGCATATCTGGTCAAGTGAGGAAACAATAAACCTGCAACAACTGGGCTGTTCAATATTCAAAAGATGCAGTTGAATTAGAAAGCAGAAGAGAATAGTTAGAAAAGCAAGACTTTGATCAAGGAAAGATTGAATATAGTGCTGATGTGGCGTTAGAGGAATTTCTGGTTAGGTGGACTACAGTAGATGATCTCTTTGGACCTTTTTAGCTCCACAAGTGTATAAACTTGGCAATTTTATTTACTGTGTGTGAGTCATTATTTGTGATTTACTGCTGATATATGGGCTCTATTGGCAAGACCAATGTTTTTTATTTGGCAGGGACCCCCACTGAGGGGTCCTAGTGCACCGGTGCAGTATACCTCCTTTTCCAGTGTGTGCTTCCTGTCCTGCAGTGCTGGGCTTGGTGCTAGCATGTGAGATATCTGTGGTTAGGACAGCAGGGAAATAAGGCACAGAAAGATTTTACTAAGTGTTACTAAGTTCTGGCAGGAGTGGACCCCATTATATCCAAAGCAGGAGCTGCCCCTGGAATTACTAACACTATACACAAGAAAAGCTGCTTTATTTGAAAAAGAAAAAGAAAAAGGAAAAGGAAAAGGAAAAGGAAAGGAAAAGGAAAAGGAAAAGGAAAAGGAAAAAGAAAAAAGAAAGAAAAAAGAAAAGTAGCCTTTCTTTCATGTGAGTAACACTTCTATACGATATTACATGCAATTAAAATTAGATATAAAATAACGGATATTTTAAAAAATTAGATAACATCAGTTGCTTGCAAAACATGGGTGAAATGTTAACCTGTGAACTTATTTGTGAGTACTGCAACTTTCCAGGTGCTATGTCTCCTGCTGAGCTGAAGGCAAAAATAAATTCAATTGCATTTGTCACCTTTTGATTTACTTTTTCTTTTGGCCTTCTCTTGGCATTTTACTATACAAATGAAATAATTATGTAACAACGAATGATGGTGCTAAAACACGATGAAGCTCAATTATGGAATTGGATGGTATGTTCTCAATAGCTAGTACAGGAGGAAATGTAAATCTTAGGTATCAGATATTTTGTAGTGAAAGCAGACCATGCAAAGAGATTTTCAAAACACATTTTTATTGAAAGCTCACAGCGCAAGAAAAGTACACAGTCATTTAACGTGTCCTGGCTATATATCATCCCCAGTATTAGAAGGTATATAATGTTGTTATTTTAATGATTAACAGTGATTGCTCTTAAAAGCTTTTCATTTCCTCAGGGTAATAGAGAACATTCCCTTGTTAATGACAGTATTGCTTAGGTATTGCAAATCATGAGCTAATGTCTCTAAATATCTAAGGTAAAAATGCATTAGGTATAATGGATAAAATAAGACTTCTGTCTGTTTCTCTAAGAATAATTATTTTTAGAGTCTCAGAAATGAAGGGTCTTGGTAATTCTATGTGTGAAAAGAGGTATGGAAAATGAGAATAGGTTATAAGGAAGTATTTTAATTGATTACCATTTTACCATCTTTTTAAAAGGAGAATTCCAGTTCCCTATATGCTTTTGTGTTCTAAAAGATGGATCACTGATATCAAAGGAGTTTTGATGGTAATACAAAGTAATGCATCTTTGTTCAGGTGTTTCATTTCCTTATCAGTGCATAGTAATCCAAGACACATAAGTATAAATATCTTTGAATATTAAGAGCTAATGAGCATGAATATTTTGTGTTCGATATAATTGCAAGATTATCCATTACTTTCAAAAATGCTGTGAAGCATACCCAGGGCTGGTGACTGTTATAAAACTAAAGCAGTTTAAAGCAATCATCTTTAGCCCAACTGTTAGAACTCAGAAATGAATGATTTCAAAAGTTTCAGTTGAGTTTAGGTTTATTTAGTTTCTCGTATATCAGTTTGTGCTGCAAAACTTGGTGCTAGATCACAGTTGCCTGATCTCCTAAGAAAATGGATGGGACAGGTCTGCCTCAGCTATACCTCCATCTTGACTGTGTGGGTTAGTTCATCTTTCCTCTATCACCTGTTCAGTTTTTATCAAATACAGTTGAAGCAGCTTTGGTGGTACAGATCCTGGACGGCTTCACAGTGCCTCCCACAGTTTGCACTCTAGACAGCCTCCCTCGACACTGCTTGATCATTCGCTTTTGTCATGCCTCAGACCACCTTCCCTCTTGCTTCCCTTCTTTCTCATCCAGCTTAACACTGTCCTGCCAAAATCTCCTCCCTTATGAGCTTTGCCTTCTGTTTAGCCAGTCCTCTTTGAAGGAAACTCCACAGAGGCACACAGGAATACAGGCAGAGGAGCTTTAACAGGACAGATAACATCTTCCCCCCGCTCTAAATCCCTAGATTGCCTATCCCTTTAGACAAGGAACAGACAGTAACTCTATCTTTACATGGGGTCTGAAAAATTAAGATGCCTTCCACAGTTAGATTGTGGCACCACCATAAGATAATGTGTCAATAGTGGTGCAAATAATAATAACCCTGATGACAAAGCTGGAAGAAATAGAATGGATAAGACTCCATGCATACATACATACTATGGTGATATGATATAGGTTAATAAATTGCATTTAATTTAGTTTAATTTAATTATATTTAATACGTGTAATAAATTACTCCTTTCTGAAGAACCTGAATATCTCCATTTTATAATATTTAATGCTTTAGGTGTGTCAAAAAAGTACTGAATAAGAACAGTGACATTATTTTCTGTGTATTTTCAATAACCTTTCTAGTAAGTGTATTTTTTTCTCTATCTTTGCGCAAGCATGGCAGCAAGAAATAGGTCTCAGTCATGAGAAAGAAAAAACAATTGATGAAACAGAAGAAAAGCTGTACTGGGTCCATCTAAATCAGTATCCTGTTTTCAACAGCAGCCAGCAGCAGATACTCAGGGA